AGTTTGGGTTAACCAGTTTTCTACTTTATAGAAGTAATTTTTGTTCTAAAGATAATAGTATAAATAAGGATTTATATGACATTCCAAATTGTAGATATTTTGGTGACTGATTCAAAAACTTTCTTTTTCCTGTGTAGGACACCATTGCAGTGGCTAGATTTATTGTTTTTTTAGCTTCTTCATCTATAGGCAAAGATGATAAACCTTGCATATTTTTGAAAGCATTTGAAGACCTCAAATCAACTGTTTATGTAAGTATGTAGTTTTTATTCTCTAATTATATTGCAGATTTAATGAGCTACAGTGATGGAACTGAAAGTATTTCTGTTAATCTGCAGATAAACTACTTGGTCTGACTAAATTATTTTAATTGAATATTTTAAGTTTAAAAAATAGAAGTTTTTTCTTGGTTTTATGTTTACAATGACTAGATAGGGAATTCCTTTATAATACTTCCATAATTACTTATTAATAAATAAGTACTTATTGATACTTATTAATTAATACTTAGTGAAATAATAAATACTTAATAATGAAACTTACAAAACTGCACAGACATTCTAGACTGGATGTTATTCTTTGTAATTATACTATCAGGCACTTTGCTCTACCTGATTTCCCTTTAAATTAATCACCTACCCCTCTTTAGGTAAAACTGATTTTTTCCTTCTATTTTATTCATTGTGAAGATGGCCTTCCTCTCCTTTCCTCTTTTAACGCCCTACTTTCCACACACACACTTGAAAACTGCCTTTTTAGTCAAAACATTTTAGAGAGAGATAAAATCTTCAGTAAGAAGAAAAATTTTCTAGGTAGAATTGGGCTAAACAATTACTAGGTAGAATTGGGCTAAGCCAAGTGCCTGCAGGCCAACATCTGCCTCTTTTTTTCTAGTATGCACAAAGGTACTATAAGTGCTGGCGGTGACTGTGCTTGATATTAAAGTTAATGAATGAGGCTGGAGATGGGTAAAATTTGCAGTTAGAGTGATCACTGAAGCACTTCCTTATTTTTTTTTGTTTTCTTTCTGAAAACGTCTAGGGTTCTATGCAGGACAAATTTTGAATATCACCTCTGATTTTCCACTTCTATTGGACTGACAGAAGTTTGCATTATTTTACATTCTATCCTGAGAACTGAATATTGCTGTGCTTCAAATTTAATCTGTAAGAACACTAATATTTTAATAAAGTACATTTTCATTTGACCTTACATCTTTGCCTTTTTTTTTAAGTTTCTGTAGCTTAGACAACTTTGCACATTTCACTCTTAATTTGTAAGCCATAACTTTATGTCATCCTAGTGAATTTGAATATTTTACAAGTAAGTGTGTACTTTTACTAAAACTAAAAGCCTGTAATCACATTGGAGGTTATCTGTGTACAAGTTCTTTGTATATAAGTTCTTTCTTTTTTTCCTTCAGGTTTATGTCAAATCTGTAAGAGATTTTTCTACAGAATCAATGTCTTTGGTAAGATGATATTCAGTTTAATTTAGAATATTACACCTGTACCCGTATATACCACACATACATAGATACATGTATATGTATATTCAGTCTACTTTGTGGTCTGATTTTGATATAGTATCAGTACACTGGAAAAACATAATCTTTACTTTTTTATAGCTGATAATGTTTTATCGGAGTGATATATTTTACCTAGTAATCAATATCTGAATATTCTGTTGTCTGGAATAATATCTGCTGATATTTTGTTTAAGCTATACATACACAAGAAAAATAAAGTAAGTTTTTACTGTATGAGGATCCTTAAATTTTTGTTTTAAACCATAGGCAAATTCATTTCTTTTTACATTAGCTTGTATTTAACCAGACAATTTTGTACTGAATTATATAATTGAACAAATTATATAATTTTAAGTTATTTTCTTACGACACATTTCTCTTTTTTTACCCATTTTTCCCGTTATTTTAAAGCATAGGTATAGCTAGAGCTTCCTCATAGCAATAGGAAGATTCCCATTCCCATTTTTACAGATAGTCTACTTGTAGCTGAGTGAAACTGGAAAGAAGATATTAATAATTTATTAGTATAGTTTAATATAATGTTTATGTTCTACTTATGTTTTTGAACCTTTAGTTTCAAATGGACAGAATTCAGGAACTGTTTCTAGTTGACAATAACTATAGAATACAGATACTAAATTCTAAGTATTAGTATAATTAATATTTTTAGGGGGGGACTGTTACCAGTAAAAGAACTGATATACTTTTTTAAAAATGTGAATTAGCTCTGGTATTAGTATTTCCCAAAATTGTTATAGATTGTTTAATTTAAAATATTTGATATATTTGTGAACCTGTAAATAAGGCAGAAATAGTAAAAGCCTCTGAACAATAAGTTAAATCAGGCATAGATCTATTTGACTTTATTTTCCTGACTCATCAAAAGATGCTCATTTGGCACATTTCCACATTTTAAAACTGAGCATGGATCTTGCAGTTGATATCGAGAAAACTGACAGTTATTGTTTTTGAGTTTCTTGTTTTCTTAAAAAAGTGTATTTTTTCGAGGATATAGTATTAAATGTGTAGTCTGTGAGGGCCAGGGTGTTTTTAGAATTTAGAAAATAAAGTATTTTGTTTTTCTGTGGTAGAAAGTTTGCTTTTCAAGTGACTCAGGGTAATCATTTGGTCTTGTACTGTCTTCAGGATTTAAAAGCTTTATTAGCCCACCTATGTGGAATCTAAAGGCCCAACATAAACTATCCCCTATATTTTTATTCAACCTAGTCTTGTCATTACCTTTGACCAGTACACTCCAGCCATCCAAACCTCCTGGATTTTCAAACATACTGAATGTGTTTTCTCTGCTTGGAACACTGTTGCTTATCTCATTCCCAACTTCTGTACTTCATTTAATTAGTTCTTTCTTTAAATATCTTTTCAAAGAGACCTTCTAAGACAACTCTAAGTCATCTCTCTGCTTTTATGGTTTGTTCTTCCATTGGTGCAGGGGCTATTTGTGTTTCGTTCACACTTATTTTTATTGCCCTGTATAATAAATGGCCCATCAATGAATGAATGAAAGAGGGACAGAATATAAAGGAATGAATGAGTTGAATTATGCTACTAGGTGTCTTTCTCTCTTTAGGCTTTTATTGTCTGCTGTGCTTGATTTTGTCCACTAGTTAACTTTCTGCCTATGCTGTGAATTGCATCTCATTTAACCCAGTGCTCACATTTTCTTGACTGATTGATCCCATAATGGGCTGCCACTTAAGCTATCAAAAAAAAAAATTGTTCCTGTCTGTGTGCAATGTGGATCAAGTGATGTACTTAATGATAATGCCATCAGGTTATCTTTAGTATGTCATGAGCCGATGGTTTTCTCATGGACATGTGCCTGTGCTGTGCAATACTGAGCAATTAGCTGTGTGTGGCTATTAAAAATTCAATTCATGATTTGCACTAGTCATTTAAATTCCTGAATAGCCACAATATTGATATAGAATATTTTCATTATCACAGAAGATTCTCTTGGATAGTGCTGTTCTAGATTATTTAGTGAGCAATAAAAAAACCTCAACAAGTATTTTCGTAAGTACTAAATAGTTTTATTAACCTAGGAGTTGTTAGGATGCCATAAATATTATATGCCTGTTGTTTTAGATATTAACCCTGTGCCTTTTGCACCAGCAGTGTGAAACTATTTTCAGACCTCTGATTACATGATGCTAGTATGTGCTATCACTTCTCCTTGTTACTTGTCCTTCAAAATTTAGATTTTGTTACCACCTTCAGAAAGCCTTTGCTTACCATTCTCCTAAGCTAACTCCACTATTTCTCTAGCTAACACATTTGTTCAAACTGATTTGGATGTCCCTCTACAGTCTTTTTTTATGGAATACAATAATTTATTGTGTCAGCAAGGGAGACCAATTCCCTACTAAGATAGGGCTTTTTGGGAATCATGTAAATTTAATTACCTTGTTCAAGTGTGAGCTTACTCAAGGGTATGTTAACCAAACTTGTAAGAATATTAACCTAACTCATTAGAGAATTATTAAGCAAAAATATCAATTTATGAATTTATAATGAGGATTATATCTTAGCTGTTGTACACATAAATACTTGCTGATTTACGTGGAAAGCCAAACAGGAAGTTGTTTATTGGTAATGAATTAACAAATGGCAGTTACTTAGTTGATTATAATGGTTAGTGTCATTGTGTTTTGCTGGCCTTTCCCATTCATCTCTCCATGAGATGTTAAGATAGAGTATTGAGTGTACGCTAAGCACTTGTTTTCTCCCTACTGTTCAGTATGCTTCTCTTCCATTATTTCTCTTTCCATTCCATTATTCTGTCATTCTTTTTTTAATCATTGATGAGCTAGCTAGCTTTTATATTGAAGTTTGATTAGATTAGCAAATTCTACTCTTTTGTTTGAACTGAGAAGCCTCCTTGGAAAAACTAATTAATTTGAGTTTAAAAATTTTAACTCTTAGAGTGATAGGTGTCCTTTTTTCCATTTGATGTTGGGGCCACCTATCTAAAGCCCTTTAAGGCTTTTTTTAGTATCACTGTTAATATGCAAACATATCCTTGTAAACCACTTTCCCTTTTCTTTCCCAACTTATTCACAGTTACTTCAAAAAATAATCTTTAGCTCTTATAATTATAGAGCAAAAGGAGCTCACTACCTGATGTGCTATAAGCCAATACTGTGAAATCGAATTTTTGAGAAAAGAAAAGCTAAAAGTCAGTCAGCACCTAAGGAGACACGAGCTGAGCTCAAATATGTCTCCCTGTGCTGTCTTTAAGTCAGTGATTTTAGTAGAAGAGTTTTAGAGAGTAGATACTCGGATTAGTAAGTCATTCGTAGGACGAAAGGGGAGGTTTAGAAAGTCCTTGGGCACGCACAGTTATTTCTTCACATTCTTCACGCATGGGTTGCATGCGCAAATTCAGGTGGAGTTAGTATGATGAATGTGATGGAAATTCATACTGTGATGTCAGCAAGCTCGTTCTCAAATTCCAGTCAGCCATCTTGGTTTCAACTGATTTCAGATAGTTTGTTCTTGCTCTCAACAATCAATAGGAGTTTCAGTAGTATCTCAGCGAGTTGTTTCTTTTCTTATCTGGTACTCTGCAAACTCAAGAATTTTTGTTAGTTGCTGATTTCAACTTTTCAGTAAGTTTTCATTTCTTGTCTACTATACTGTAAGCCCGAGAATTTAGGCATTATTAGTTTTAATTCTTTGGGGTACAGTTTCATTATTATCATTTTAAATCTTTTTATACCATTTATGACTCAAAACCTGGCTTGAATTATGAGTCAAAATCTAGGCCTGTGGAAAATCTCTATAATAGCATGGGGGTAAAGGGAAGAGAGAAATTGTACCACAAGTTTTGAAGTGATATTAGTTAAAAAATAGAACCAAAATCTCTTAAACTGCATTTTTTAGAATTTGCTCTCTGTTAACAATTTGATTTCTTGTCCCCCAGCTACAGTTTCTTGACCAAATAAGCTGGGGATGTACTAACTTAAAGACAGCTAGGATGGTTTAATTACTTAAAGATTCCTTGAGAGTGTCCTTAAAAAAAAAGTTTTCTAAACTCACAAGAGATATAACTTGTATTGTTAAGACTAGTATTCTGGTTACCTTTTCAGGGCTTCTAAAAATATCTCTTGCCTAGTCATTTACCTTTAATAAAACTCTCTTTTCTTAGACCTTTTACATTGAAGATGTACATATTTTAAAAAAGTATTTCTTGTTTTCTGTTATTGCTTCAGTTGTGATATGTATTTCTGGTATTTCACTACAGATGCTCCTTGATTTACAGTGAGGTTACATCCAGTAAACCCATCATAAGTCATAAATGTTATAAATACAAAATGCATTAAACAGCCTACTAGACCCATTCTAAAGTCAGAAGATTATAAGTTGAACCATCATAAGTCAGGGACTGTATGTATATACTGTTTGCTACTTTTGTATTGGAGAAGTATAATGTTTTAATTAGATTATAGGTTATGCCTTTATGAGCTAGTGTGCAAATTGTACCATTTATAAACAAAGTTCTAAGGGAAACTAGTTGGATAAGCTAAGCTGTGTTCATTGCCTTTCTTTCAGGTTACAGCTTCTTTTAGACACTTAAAAGGATAAAATACAGTTATATGGATTTGCTGCTAATATGATTATAACATGATTCTACAATGTAAATACTTACTATAAATGTATTCACTGTCTTCTCCTTCTTTAGGTTCCAGCAACAAATTATATATATACACCCCTGAATCAACTTAAGGGTGGTACAATTGTCAATGTCTACGGTGTTGTGAAGTTCTTTAAGCCCCCATATCTAAGCAAAGGAACTGGTAGGTATTAAAACTGGTGGAATTTTTATAGAGTAGAAATGCATTATTGATTTAGGAACACAGTTCCATCAGTACCCTAAGTCCTAGAATAGAAGCTCAGTTTGGACCTATAATTGCCAGACAACACTGATGCCTATTCTTTGGCTAGTTTAATTTGTAAAATAAACATGATCTTTAGATTCTAGAGTCTAGTTAAAAACAGTAAGGAAAAAGAATGAAGCAAAGGATGCCAAACAGCAACGTGAAACCATATGAAAGTATAAAATTCACTGGTAAAGGTAAATATATAAACAAATGCAGTGTACTGCAATTCTGTAACACTGATGCATAAATCACTTTTAATTCTGGTATAGAAGTTGAAAGGCAAATATATAAAAGGAGCTATGACTCTAGAAATATGTTAATGGATACATAGTATAAAAAGATGAAAAGTATGAAATCAGTAACATAAAGTGTGTGGGGTAGAAGTAAAAGTGTAGAGTTTTTGTAT